AATAACATTTTATCATCAGATACATGTTAACAGCAGATACATACAGTATCCTGACAATCAAATAATGCTTTGCACACATACCTCAATGTGACATGGGAACTTCATTTCCTCATCAGGACATCTGGAATGGATCACATCTATACATTTATCTGCAAAATCACTGAATATTCAATGACTTTCCATGGTGTCATCAAAAGAATCTAGAGTTACTATATACAAAGACACCACTGATTTTCAATTTTTGCAAATAAAGAGGTTATATTCCATTTTTTAATTTGTTTCTCCTATAAGTTTTGATCTCCATTAGATGTAAGGATAATTATATATATATATATATATAAAATTAATTTTTTGAGAAAACACACACGTGTGTTTCAGAACTGTTTATAACAGCATAGGCAAAATATTTAGAAATGAATATAAAGGAAAAAACAACAGGTCCTATTTCTGCAGCTGTTAAGTAGTTGTAGAAAGCATACAATCATGAATGACCACTTATATTACATGGAAAATCCATAGCAAAATATGACAATTTCTGTAGGTTCTAGTAAGACATAGTGCCACCTAAACCTTCTGTGATATTACCTGTAATCAAACCTCTCTCTTTATTTTTCAATGTGTTTCTGAACATGAGGTTTTGAAAGCAATTTATGCTTTTTAATTTTTTTTTAATTTCTAAGAGTCCCTGAGGAGATTTCAAGTAATTTGCTGATTATATTTAAAACATTTGAGAGTTTAATGAAATGCCTGGAGGTTATCCACTAATTGTCAGAAACAATTTATAATTAACTATGGCTTCACTTATGTATTCATATAATTATTTACTTATACATTTATTTTATACTTAATCTCACTTATAGGTTTTATCAAATGTGTTGGTAATAAAACCTCAAAGCAATTTTAGATTCTCATTTTTATTTCAGCATCTTTATAAATAGCCAATATGTGCAAGCAACCTAATCATCCATTCTTTGAATAAATTGGATATGGTATATAGAAAAGAGGTTATATTATTCAACCTTAAGAATTACACCCTGTAACCCATGACAACTTAGATAAACCTGGAGAACATTATGTAAATAAAATAAGTCAGATGCAGAAACACTACATTATCCTGCTTACATTATATATCTAAAATATTCAACCTTATTGAATCAGAAAATTGAATGTTGGTTGCAAAG